GCACCCAGGCTTCCTCCCTCCCCCTTCCTCTTTCCTGTCCCCTTTCCTTCTCTTTCCTTTCCTCCTTTTCTCCCTGTTATTATTATACAAGATGGAGCCAAGGCAATGTAGCGCTTCTCACCATTTAGTATTTGAAGGCATCGCCCCATGGACATTGCTAGGTATATATGCCGTGCAGTGCTGTAACCCCAGGGGGGCGTAAACCACAGAGATTCCTCACCTCGAGTTCCAAAGCTCCAAGCCCAGGATCCAGCTGTGTGGGCAGGCTCCTCCCTAAGGAAGCTGTCCCATCCTCTCCGCTCCTCCTGGGGTTCACTGCTCACCTGGAACCTTCACCCCGTCTCTGCCTGCACTGCTTGTGCCGTGCTCAACATGGAGATCTGTGTCACAGTGTCCTCTTTTCTGAAGTCCCTGGCCGCATGGGCCTAGGTCTGCACTGACAACCTTCTCTGAACTCCAGGGACTCTGTGTCCAGCTGAGGGTGGGACTTCTGCACACAGTTGCTCACTGCGCAGAAGTCAGCCCCGTCCACAGCTCCTCCTAGAAAGCCTGGGAGCTCGGGGCCAGCCTGGGCTCTGGGCCCGTGCAGCACGGCGGGACTTCTTGATGGTGTGGGTGACGGCACACTTAACCCAGGCACCTAGAAAGGGTACTGTGCCCATGGGGGGCGCATCCTCCACCCCATCTTGGGAAGCCCCTGTGTGACCCTGCTAACACTGTGCAAAGCCACTCCTTACTATAAAAGGGAGGTTCATTCCAGCACATTCTGTCCCTCGCTGGTCTTGTGACAAACCACAGACCCAACCCATCTCACTTCCACTCTCAACATGGCAGCATTTCTTTCCGTTCAATTTCTGTATTAATTTGTTAATTAATTCAGCAAAACCCCAGGGGCAGACAGGTGGCCAGCAGCAGTCACAGGGCTACAGGAAAGAGGAAAAAGTTAGTGAGGTGACGCCTGCGGTGGGGCGAGGGGCTGACTGTTGTCCCCTCATTCTCCATCTGTGCTTATTCAGCAGCGAAAGCCCCTCGTTGTTTTATTTCATTCTTTTCGATGCATCACAAAGTTAAAGGTTTTGCTTGTTGATTGGTGTCGTGTCCACTCTTTAGTGCGGGCAGGGTCCCGGGGTTCACTGAATTGCTGGCCAGCAATCTGCCGAGGGCTGCCAGGTTTTTCCTTATGAAGTTGGAAGAGGTTTTGCCAGTGAAGACAGATATTCCTGTGCTTGCTGTGCTTTTCTTTGCATGTTAATCTGTAGGAGTTAATCTGTAGGAGTTCAACTTCATCTGCTCAAATGTACAAGTTTTCCCTTTCAGCATTCAATCCCCCTGAGGCAGGGCCCAGGCCTGCTAAGGAAGTCAGCTAATCCTACTAGGCCTCACTAGCCGCAGGGCAGCCCCCAAGGCCCAAGGCCGAGCTCACTCCTGAGCGTCCCCCACCCTGCGGCTACCTACCGCTCCACTGGCCCCTGGGCTGCTCGCTGGGGCCCCGCTTCCTGGCCGTGCTCCACGCTCTGCAGGCCTACACCTCTGCTTTCTCCTGCTAGGAGCCTACCCTGCGGCCTGTGGCTCTGACCCGACCCCTCCCCCACCTCCTGGATGTCTCTAAGTCCCTGACGCTTCTGCCACAGCCACACTGTTTCCCTCGCTTTCTACTTGGAGACAGGCACAGAGCCTTATGTCGGGGAGCAGAGGTGCTCCAAACAAAGCTGTTCACTTCTTCCTGCCTTATTCTATGAAGCAGCAGGAGCTCCTAGATGAGATCGGGGAGGGCATGGGAGAAAGACCAGGACTTCGCTGCACTTTAGGGAACTAAATGCTGTCTTTATTTTATTTGTTTCTTTTATGAATGTAGCTTTCTGGAGAATGTTGAAATTATCGCTGAGGCAAAAGAGCAACGTGTCGTGGTTGTTGTTGCCTCTTAGGTCAAAGAAGAAATGGCCATCCTCGCCCGGGAGAAAGGTGTTAACTCCTTCAAGATGTTTATGGCCTATAAGGACCTGTTCATGCTGCGGGACTCAGAGCTGTATGCTGCCTTCCAGCAGTGCAAGGGGATCGGCGCTATCGCTCAGGTCCATGCAGAGAACGGCGACATCATCGCAGAGGTGAGTGCTAGGCTGCGCTGGGCCAGAGGCAGGCGGCGCCTCAGAAGAGCAGAGCCAGAGGGGCTTGGGGAATCCCAGACACCTTGTTCGGCTGGCTTGAGCCCTGCCTGCTCTCGGGTTAGCACAGCTGGCTCCACTGAGAGTGAGGATTTCTCTGTTTCAGAACAGCTTGTGTTCCATATGTTTTTTAAATTTATGAAGGACGCAACCTCAAGCAGGTGCTCTGGTGAAAACAGTTTGCTCTGCGGTCCTCTGGCTCTGTGCTTCGTGTCCTTAGTCGCAGCTGCTGCTTCTGATGCCACATGGGCCAGCATCTGCAAAATTTGAGCCTCTCCCAGTGTAATAGATGTCTGTTTAAAGACCACTCTTTTCAGAAGCTGGGAATTAAAATGTGCTCTGGAGGAATCTAGCTGATATTTGTTTCATGTTGGCTCCATGATTGATGTCCAAAGGGCTCACCGTCGGTGGGGCTTGAGGAGACACCCCTGCCCCTCGATATTAGCTGGCCTCTTCCCTCCGAGTCCTGCTCCCACTGGAGTGAGGGAGGTGGAGACTGAGGCAGGTGGCAGTGAGCATAACAAGGGGAGAGTGGAGCTGGGAAGCCAACAGGCCAGGGGTCAAGTGTGACTTCACACTTTCTGGCTGTGTGACATAGCCGAGGCATTCGCTGCTCGGTCAGGACTCTTGCCTTTTTCGTAAGGATGAAGTACAGTTCTGGGGAGTGACAACAACGGGTCCAATAACCACTCAACAGATTGGGCTGGGAGCCAGGGAAAGTGATTCAGTAAAAACAGAGCAGGAGTAATTGGGTACTAGATCACCAGGAGTCATTTCGACAAGGGTGTCTGCTGTTTAGTTTTGTTTTGACCTGAATCAACACTCCCTCATAAATGTGGACCTTGCTTTTCAAAGCACTTGATGAAACCCCCCCCCCCCTTCTTCAGGCACCAGAGTGTGATGACGAGGTGTCACAGAGCGCTGGTACGCTCGGGGCGTTCGGGTTCTACACCAGACACGCCACACAGCACCCCTGCCTGTGCTCACTGAGGCCATGGTCTCTGGGAGCCTCTCATTTGCAGGCTCGGTGCTGGCCTTGACCCTTCCCTGTCTCTCCAGGAGGCCAAGAAGATGCTGGCTCTGGGGATCACCGGCCCCGAGGGCCACGAGCTGTGCCGGCCCGAGGCCGTGGAGGCAGAGGCCACGCTGCGCGCCATCACCCTGGCCAGCGCGGTGAGCTGTCCCCTGTACGTGGTGCACGTCATGAGCAAGTCTGCAGCCAAGGTCATAGCGGACGCCAGGAGAGACGGTGAGCCCCGGACAGCCCCGCCTGCCCCAGCCGGGCCAGCGCCCGGTGAGCCCCCGCAGCTGCCCTGCCGCCTCGGGGAGTGGCCGCCGCGGGCCTCGGCTTTTCTTCCTCCTGTTCCACCAGCGCAGGTCTTCCTCCTTCCCGGCCGCCCGCACGTGGCTTTCTTCTCCGCTCTTCCTCCAGGTTGTGTCTCTGCTGCCCTGGGGGCTGCGTCCACTGCTTTCTCCCGCGGGGCGCCAGCCTCCGAGCCGCAGGCAGTGCCTGTGGCCCTGCAGGCTCCACGCCAAGCGCTGGGAATTTCCACGGTGGTCCACACCTCCGGGCTTCTTTTGAATTGGTTTGTCTCTCTCACCTCCCAAGCAATTATCCAAAAGCGTCTTTAGATGACTGCTTTAAGGTGTTAAAATGAACGTTATTTTTACCCCAAGGCGCCTAAGCACCCGGCTCTCTCGTTCAGTCTAGCAGAGAAGAGGCAGGCTCCTGACCTTGGGAGGAGTGCCCCAGAGCAGTGAGTTCACTTATTTACAAGTACCGTCGTCGAGGACGGGTGGAAACAAACGCTGTGCCTTGCACCAGAGGCCACCGTCCTCCCGGAACAAGCGTGTAGCTCCTGCTCGGATGCATGCAGGCACAGCAGTCATCCAAGTCATCCTGGCGGCCCCCTGCCCCTGACACGGGGCACAGTTTTATCATACGTATTACAAGGACTATGATCCTGGATTTGTACGTCTAGGACTAGTACTAAAATAAATCTTGTCAAAATTGCTTTTCTGTGCGCGAGGCTTCCGTAAGGACTCTGAGCCATCTGCACTTTTCGAGCGTAATCCGTCGATGTGTGCGCTAGGCTTGCTTCTGCCCACGCATTAAGGGGGTCTTAGTACCCGCGGTCTCCGATTGCGCCCTCCCACGCCCCGCTTATGCTAGAACTGCAGGACTGGCGGCGCCCTCGAAAAGCAAAGCGCGATTTAGATTTGCCCAGCAGATGGCGCTGCTGCCAACGCTGTGCAGTTGCCTTTCCTTTGTAAATTGCGTCACATAATACGGAAATAGATTTAAGAAACAATAAAACTAGCAGGAAATGGACAGTCCTGACCCACCAGCACTAAGAGAATGTCATCAAAATTGGAGCAAAGGTCTGGTTTTAGAGTAGAGATGATAGAAAGTTATTAAACTTAAGTATAGGCATTTCAATTTTATTTTAAATACCTTAAGTTCAATTTATTTCTTGAATATGTAAAATATTTACATGACCCAAAAGTCAAAATTATATATAAAAAGTATTCGTGGAAGTCTGACTTCCTTCTTATATTTGAAAAGTAATTATTTTCATGAATTTATATCTGGCCTGTATTTACAGTTTCTCTTTACAAAGTGAAAATTATATATCTTCTGATTTTCTCTTATATCCTGTACAGAAAGTAGCACCCTAATACAACAGTGTGTGCCTCGCTTCTTTTGTTCCCCCACTTGGTGTTCTAGCGCACAGCGGCACACGTGGGTCGTTTCCAAGCTCTTGCTATCGCAACTAAGCCGGGCCGCAACCTTGTATCTACGCAGTCTCGTACTTTGCAAGGCGTGCAAGTCTCCAATTGCTGTTGCAATAAAGAGCCACAAACTTAATGGCTTAAAACAATGAAGCTTTATTATCTCAGTCCTAGAGATCAGATCTTAGGTAGGTACACTGCAACTCTCAGTCACTTGCTTTGTTCCTGAGACAAAATACCCAACACTGGCTTTACAGGAGGATGGTTAATTGCAGCTCACGGTTTTGGCCCACGGTCAGCTGGCTCCAAGGCAGAAGCAGGTAGACAGAGGGACCTGGTGGGGGAGATTTCACCCTCCTGGGCCAGAAAGCAGAGGAAGGGGGCAAGGCCTAGAGAGAGACATGCTCTCCCAGGCCACTCCCCGGGGCCCACCTCCTAAGTGCAGGTTCTGCTGTGAACCTCAAGGGTGAGTATAGCACCCCTTTATCCAATCATCTTCTAAACACAGGGGGCTTTGGGGGACAGTTCAGACTTGCAAGGCAACTCGGGGCGAGCTAGCATCGGTGTCTGCAGGGCTGAGGTTCCTCCTGGAGGCTTCAGAGGGAAGCCCTTCCCTTTTCTTTCCAGCTCCCAAAGGTCGCAGCCTTCTCTGCTCGTGGTCCCCTCCATGACCTTCCGTGACCTTCAAAGCCAATAGTGCCCTGCTGAGCTCTTTCTGATCTCGTTGCTCCAGCCTCCTCTTTTCTTCGCTCTTCAGCTTTAAAGATGCTTGGGTTGCCTTGAGCCTGCTGGATTAATTCAGCGCCAGCTTTCAATCTAGAGCTCCGGATTCACAGCTGTGATTTTCGCTGTGTGGTGAAATCTAGTCGCAGGCCACACTCATCAGAGCGTGGACGTGGTTGGGGCTCCAAGATCCAGTGCCCACGAAAAGGCATCCTGGGGGCAGATTCCTGGAGTCTGACTGCTGGTCAGAGAAAAAATGCCTGTGGGATTTTTTTAGATGCAGCCACATTCCTTTTCAGTGCAATCATAAATGTGGAATGTTTAAAACATCATCCCAAATGTCCTAGCTGAGCCAGATGCATTGTAGTTCTTGTGAAAATGCCTTAATGCTCAGGCAGAGAGGCCGCGGAGTTCTGGGACAAACCAGGAGGGGCAGTCTCCACCCTCCCAGAATCCCTTGCAGCAGGGCCTGTGACCACTGAGAGCCAGAGGGAAAGAGACACAGGGCCAAACTGTGCACATGGTGGGTGCCTGTCCCAGCGACCCCAATGACAGAGCGGCTTGTCCACACCGCCTTTCAGGGAAGGTTCCTCCACTCTGTCTGTGCACGGCTATTATCTACTTCATTTCTGAACAGGAAAGAATAATGGGGCTCTGTAAACTATGGTCCTTTATTCAAAAGAATTCAGCCTTCCAGGTGTCTGACCCAGAGGTTTCCCCTCCTTCAATGCTGGGCCCTGTGCCTTCGGGGGTCTTGACCCTGTGGAGGCCCCGGAGTGCAGTGCTGGCACCGCCAGGGGCTCACTGGGCTCCCAGAGCCTCAGCCCCCATCCCCAGGCCTGCTGACTCACAGAGACCGCCCAGCCCTGTGTGTCACGAAGTCTGAAGCCCCACTCCAGGAGGCACACAGGGTGTCCAAGTATTGACGGACCCTACTGCAGCAGTGTAGAGTACAGTGCTGATCCATTTCATTCATTATTCACTTGCCAGCTCTGCATCCGGCATGATCATGACAGTTACCGCTGTCTGCTGAGTGCCTAATGTGCGCTCGGCATGCAGCGCTGTTTCAATATTTTCTATCTCACTTCAGGTTTTACTCTGTCTCATTTATATGTATTTTAGTACATATTATCTTTTCAAACTTGTAATAATAATGCCTCAAGCTCACCTTTATCCCTGTTTCGTGGCTGATAAGAATAAGGCTTGGGAGATGACTGGTAAGTTAAACCCCAGACACATTCACTAGTAGGTGCTACAAGTAGAGTTCAGGCTCGATCCACGGGACAGGAAAGCCAGGCGCTTTCCGTCATTTCTCATCCACTTCAAGAAGCCATTGGGCTAGAGTTGGGGAAACGTGGGCTCCAAGTTTAGATTTAATGGGCTCAGCTTTTAAAAAATTTAACTGACACTTGGCATTGGGACATTACATTTTAAATATTTTACTGAGCACAAGGACATCTCGCTAGCTTTATCCTTATTAAAGGGGTGATGCCTGACAGGGATGCAGATGATGAAACAGTTGATGGAAAGGAAGCGCCTCTGTTAGCCTCAGTTCACTCTTTGGAGCTACGGTTTGAACTATCCGCACGGTGCTTGGCGGTCACCTCCAAAATCTTACTGTGTAACAGCCAATTGCAATTCTTGAAGATACCCCAGTTCCCGTGAAAGATGAGTATTTAGCTCATGCATTTATTGCTGTCCCCTCCGGGCATCTCAGGCAGTGATGGCGGCCTTGGGTGGCACGCAGGCTCTGGTCTGTAGCTGGGTCTCTGCACTTGCTGCACCAGCTGAGCCGCACGCTGGAGCCGCTGCGGCCTGCGGTGTGGTGCGGTGCTCTTCTATGCGTGTGGAGGGAGCTGGAGAGAAATTTGCACTGCTAAGTGCAGTGAAACCTGTGTAACTGAGATTCGCTCGTGCAGAGGGGTCTCAGGTCAGCACCCCCTTCACTGTAGGCTCAGAGTGTAGCAGAGCTTGTTGCCGTGCAGGTAGACCACTGTAGCCCTGTAGGGTTTCTTGGCTTTCCCAGAATGTTTCCAGGTTGCTCTTTTTAAAATGAGTTGAGAAAAGACGCAAACTCTTTCTCCAGCGTATCGTGCGAGTCTCCAGCTCCTTCACGTCACTGTCCACTCAGTACGGCCTGGGAGACCCTACATCTGGCGCGCTCTCTCAGTTCCCAGTTCTCCTCTTTGCTTATACTTGGGAGATCCTCCAGAGCCTTTTCAGGCAAACTACTGAAATTTCACTGCCTGACTCTTGTCCTTGGTGCCGCGTGGCGTGCAGAACTCTAGGCTCGGGGTCACTCCTCTTGCTTCGACTGCATGATCCTATCTCTGCAGGTGCTGAGAGGCGCCAACCTTCCTCTACAACTTGTCTGACCATCTGGAGTGCCCTCCCGTGTTCTTTCATCCCAGAAGTCTAGAATTGCAATTATATTTATTTAGTATTTGGCCTTTTAAAAACTTCTTAGGCCAGGGAGATAGCTCAGCGGCACAAGGGCCTGCTCGGCAAGCACAAGGTCCTGAATTAGATCCCCGGTACAAAAAACAAAAAACAAAAAACAAAAAAAAAAAATCTCATCTTCCTGTTCAGAGGCCTCTTTTATCCTGAAGGCTGAGCTTTAGTTCTGAAATTTTTCCTCCTGTCATCTCCATGATCATGTTCTCTTGCACCTTCTGGGGAGGGCTTCTGTAATCCTCTGTGTCCTTTAACTATTGTCACTCTGTTAGTTAGTCAACTTGGCTGAATCAGCTCCGGCAGATCTCAGCATGGGGGCCTTGCCCTGCAGGTGGGCAG